GCTGCTGCTGCTGCTGCTGCTGCTGCTGCTGCTGCTGCTGCTGCTGCGGCAGCCGCTGAGAGAATGTCCTATTGCAGCCCAAGCACTCAAGTCTCAGTCAGGGAGCAGTCTCGGGGACTCCTCCTCTTCAGCTAGCCCGGCCCCAGAGCCACGCCTTCCAGCTCCGTCCACCCTCCCCCCACCCCTTCGCCTCAAACACACCTCCCCCTCTTCCCAGATTGAAGTCCCGCCCAGCTGGCTGAGCACTCTGCAGATGCTGCTGCTGCCGCCCGCCGCCGCCGCCGCCGCCGCTGCTGCTACCACCGCAATGTCTTGGGTGGGAGGGGCGGAGCACTGGTCCAGTCCGTCCTGCTGCTGCCACCGCCTCCTTCTTCCTCTTTCCTCCTCCTGCAGCCAGCTCGCCGCCCGGTGGTGACAAGAATGTGTGGAAGCTCCGAGGAGGAAACGGGCCAAGCCACACACAGCTCAGCCCCGAGAGCAGGTTGCAGTGTCCGAGCTGTGTCTTGTGTTCTGGAAACCAAGATGCATGTAATAGGTCTAGTTCCTGTGGAGACAGAGGGCTAAAGCATGCTGCAGAGGGGCTTACCGGGTCGCTATGGTACCTCAGATTTTCCTTACAGCCAGCCTCAGTTTTTTTTTTTAATCATTTAGGAGAAAGAAGGATCCAGCAATGTGTCTAATAGACCCCAGCAAAGGAGGTCTGCCTATAAACATGGTCTTTTGCCGCTCCTCCAATCCAGTGAACTGTTAGTGTTAATGCACCCCCAAAATAGAGTATTCTTGCTAACAGGTGGCTGAGGTCTGACTTTGGCCAGTCTACTTGCAGAGAGCTCTGGACAGGGGTTAGGAGACTTGTGTCCTAGTGCCAGTTCACGCAAGGAAGATCTACACCTTGACCTTGGGGGGGGGGGGATGTGGTGGTGCAAACCTCACAGCTCCCATGAGGTGCAGTTTTTCTCAACTGTCACATGGTGACTATGATCCCGGTCCTACCTACCTCATTGATTATTGTTAAGCTATAATGAGGTAATATTAAAAAAAAAAAAAAACTAAACTCTTGAAAAGTATACACATATAAAGGCAAGCCACCAAAGAGTGAGGATGAGGAAATAACAAGGGTCCATATTACAAAAAGGAAAAAAAAAGACATCTGCAGTCCCTGATAATAAAAACTAGGTTGGAGGAAACTAAACTATTAGCAAAGACATCTTTCTAATCAGAGAAAAAACGACTAAGATATAAAAGTCAGATACTGCTTAGGATTTCTTGGATTCTTCTTGAAGAATCCTGGCTCCCTTACCTTTTTACCTTTGTGATTTTGGACAAGTCTCATAACCTCTCTAAGCCTCAGTCACTCTCCTTAAAATGAAGAGGTTGGTTCCACTAGACAAGGGTGGTTTTTTTTTTTTGTTTGTTTTGTTTTGTTTGTTTGTTTTTTGTTTTGTATCACTGTATCGACGACCCCTTGGGCAGTCTGATGAAGCCTATAGACCCATTCTCAGAATGTTTTTAAATCACTGAAGGAAATGCTGAATGTCAGTTAGAGGTGAGGAAAATAAAGATGAAAAAAATTCCTCTATCTTGTTCATAGACCTCCATGTAAAATCTATGAACCTCTTGGAGGAGGTGGACCCCAGATTAAGAATTTCTGTACTAGAAAACGCCTATTATCCCTTCTAGATTTAAATCTAGACTTAGACCCAGTATCTAAGTCAGATATTGAGAGTCACCATAAGGTGGGGAATGGAAAGGTTCACTCAGAGGTGTGGCTTAACATATTTGAGCAGCTCTTGCACAAGAGCAATTTCACTTTTTCATCTATTGTTAGTCTTTCTTTCTTCTCTCCAGTGCTCCCCAGACCCCCTAAGTGGGACCTGGAGGAAACCAGGGCAACCAGAGACATCAGGAAAAGGTAGGGGCAGAAAAGAAAAACCTCAAAAGGTATAACAAATAGAGAAGTGCAGTAGAGACCATGGAATTTTATCAGCAATTTGAATACCCACCAGAAACTAACGTGATGAATCAAGGCCAGAAAGTCACTTCCTCCAGTGGTTTCTTATCCTTGATTTGTATCAAAGAAATTTTAAAAATACTTTGCAAAATTTATAGCACTATATAAATGCTAATTGTTATTATAATCATACCCCATTATTGACTGATTCCCATTGGTCAAACTAAAGAAATTATATTTGTCCTTCAGTAGCTTAGAATATAAGCTTCTTAAGAGTAGAGCTCATTGCCTTCTTTGTTTTTGTATCCCCAGGGCTTACCATGGGTCCTGAAATATAGATGATGTTTAATAAATGCTTGTTGATTAAGTATCACTTGTCTGCTGGTGTTGCTTTATCCTTCCTTTATTTCAGGTAGGGTCAGAGGACGAAAAATTGCCCTTGATCTTTTTAAAGCAATTAAACCTACCGGCAGACACGTAAACTACATCTATCCACTCTCCTCTCCCTAAGCTGCAATTTTTACATAGGCTTTTTGTACTCCAAGCACCTGTCCTCTTTTAAAGACATATTATTGTACTGGGGCAGGTGGGTGGCACGATGGATAGAGTGCTGGGCCTAGAGTCAGGACCTGAGCTTAAATTCTCAGATAGTACCGGTGTGACCTTGGGCAAGTCACTTAACCTGTTTGCCTCAGTGTCCTCATCTGTAAAATGAGCTGGAGAAGGCAATGGGAAACCATTCCAATATCTTTGCCAAGAAAACCCCAAATGGGATCACATCAAGAGTCAGATATAACTGAAAAACAAATGAACTATAAAAAAATAACTTCTCAAAGCTCCCAATTTTCATAATTAGGACAAGACAGGAGAATTTGGAGAGTACTGACAATACTTTCCTTGAGAATACTTTTTGTCTTTGGAGACCATCCTTGGCTCCAACAGGTTTCCTTTCTTACCTACCCTGCCCAGTCTCATTTCTGGAAGTAGTTGTACATTTGGCCAGGAAGAAATCCCAGAGTATTCCAGTGTGTAGTTCCTCCCTCAGGAACTTATCCTTCATGAGCTTCTACTCCCCCCACCCCCACTTGCCCTAGGAGAACCTGTTGTTCTGTACGGCTCTGTGTCCTTCTTCAAAATGAAGAGATTGAACTAGATGACCTCTAAGATCCCTTCTAAGGAGAAATTGGGGGGAAGGCTCTTTATCAACCTTCTGGACCTATAAGGAATCCAGATCCAAATAGGAGACATAAGTTCTAGGTGCCTTGGGAAAGAAAGTATTAGGTTTTGTTGTCACTTTGTCCCATTACTTCTCTAATGTGATTTTGACTTTCTGGACTTCAATATACCACGTCTCAGTTTTACTGTCACCCTGGAACCTCCTTCAGCACCTGAAACTTCCTCACCCTAGATTATCTATTTGCCTCTGAGACCTCCATATAATGGAACATCCATCCACTAGGTTGGTCTATTCCAATTTGTGAGTTCCTCTCTGGGGCCTCCATTTTGGGGAAAGATCTAGGCCAGCCAACCTTTATTCTCTACCTGGCTGGGCTTCTGACTTTCTGGGCTTGGATACTCTGCCATTGTTGTAGTTCAGCCATCATTCTGGAAGAGAACCAATGCCATCATGAGGGTGATGTGTTGATGTGCTTGTGAAGTGAATTTAAGTGAGGCAAAGCTATGCAAATTTGTCATCTCGCTCTATCCTCCAAAGTCATTGAAGTCCAGTGGCAAGACAAAGTCAAGATGACTGGAAATGATTTGAGTATCTTCAACACATCCCTGCTTAAGTTCTGCTCCCTTTGGTGAGTTGTCTTCCTCATTAGAATATAAGCCCCTTGAGGGCAAAGATTGCCTTTCTCATTGCTTGCATTTTGGGAGGGCAGCTAGGTGTCAAAATAGAGTGCTGGGCCTGGAGTCAGGAAGACCTGAGTTCAAATCCTTCCTCAGATACTTACCAGTTGTATATCCCTGGGGTAAGTCACTTAACTCTGTTTGCCTCAGTTTCCTTATCTGTAAAATGAACTGGAGAAGGAAATGGCAAGCCACTGCAGCATCTTTGCCAAGAAAACCCCAAGTAGGGTTACAAAGAGTCTGATATCTACCAATGTTCCATTCTAACATTCCATTTTTATTGGCTAGCCATGGTCCTGAAAAAGAGATGACTAAACCATTTAAACCATTCTGCATAAACAATTGAACAACAACTAACAGTGTCTGTAAGCACTTGTTGCTTGTTGCTTTTCTTGCCTGATGATGAGAGACCAGTTTAAAGATGTGAAGGGCAGAATGAAAACCAACTGATTTGAAGTAAGACTTCAATACAAAATGTAGCACTAGGTAAAGACTCCAAAATGGAAGTTCTTTGGCACTGAATTGGAGCTACAATTTCTTTTGGGAATAAAAGTTGATGCTTTCTTTTCAACATGCAGTCTTAGAATCTTAAGTTCAAATCCCAGTGACCCTAGGCAAGTCTCACTTCTGTCTGTTTCAGTTTCCTAAACTATAAAATGGGGATAATAATAAAATACCGCACCTATCTCCCAGGGTTGTCATGAGGTTCAAATGAAATAACATTTGTAAAGCACTCAGCACAGATCTTGGCACTTAAAAAATGTTTCTTTCCTACCCCTTGCCTTCAAGTGTTGCCTGAGGCATTGAGAGGTCAGGTGACTTGTCCAGGATCATATCATCAGTGTGTGTGTGTGGGGGGGGAGACTTGAACCCAGATCTTCCTAACTCCAAAGCAAGCACTCTTGCTCTCTGTCTCTCTGTCTCTCTGTCTCTCTCTGTCTCTCTCTCTCCCCCCTATAATGTACTTCTTCTCAAGTGCTAGTGATATAAAGACAAAAATTAAACTGACTGTGGTCTCAAAGAATGTGCATTGTATTGGTGGGAAGATACATGCTCACATATGAGAAAATGCATTTTTAGTTCATACAAAGGAAATTGCTAGGGGGACACTTTAGCACCTGGGAGGA